AGGTTGCAAAAAAATTGAATGCAGGACAAAGTTTAAAAAATAAAGATATTCATACATGATAAATTTTTAAAGGTCTATGTGTCTAGGTATAGACTCTATGCAAGTTTGTGATTGTTTTATTTCTAGCCTACTCGCCGCCTTTTGTCAAAGAAAGACACACATACATGTTTCTACTGTACGACATAGGATCTGTCGACATCCTTGTAAACGACGCCAGCAAGTCTATCTGCACTTTTAGACAATTTTATCAGTCTATCGGGCACCACGTAGCAGCAAGCCAGCTGCATATCACGAAAAAACCAAGTGGACACGGAACCAGACCGAGTGGCCGAACTGCTGGAGCACTGCCCAGTCGATGACAGCTTTGTGATCGGTAGTAGTTTTTTATTCATTATTCTTAAAGTAAGCCCTGATGGAGTGGGGGGGATCACTACTGTCTACCCTCCTAGGCTTGTCTAATAACTGTCCGGTCAGTGCAACCGTGGTAAAACCACGGTGGTTAAATCTTAACCTTGGACTAGATAAGAAACACCAAAAAAACTTTAAAATTTATATTACAAAAATGGAACCAATCTTTTAAGAAAAGATATAAAATAGAATAAAAAATCAAGAAACAAAACTAGGCGAAACAAAACATACCAAACAAAACTCAACAAAACATACAAAACATACAAAACACAGAATATTATGAACCTTCGATGACTCGGATAGTCAAGGCTCTTAACACACAGACAACCTTCCTATCCCATCTGGCAATCGAAACGCTATCTAATATCCGCACCAAACACACATGTCATATAAACAAAACAACAAACAAAACATTACATATCAAACTATACATACAAAACAACACTAACATACAAAACACTACATAGAAAACACCCGGTTGCAAAAGCTACCTCGCTGGAAAAGGGGGGGGGGGGGAGAGATGTCAATGTGTTATGTTGTTATGTTGTCGTGATTTCACTGTGTCATATTGTCATCATGTCGTGATGTCACTGTGTCATGTTGTCGTGATGTCACTGTGTCATGTTGTCATGATGTCATTGTGTCATGTTGTCGTGATGTCACTGTGTCATGTTGTCGTGATGTCACTGTGTCATGTTGTCATGATGTCACTGTGTCATGTTGTCATGATGTCACTGTATCATGTTGTCATGATGTCACTGTGTCATGTTGTCGTGATGTCACTGTATCATGTTGTCATGATGTCACTGTGTCATGTTGTCGTGATGTCACTGTATCATGTTGTCGTGATGTCACTGTGTCATGTTGTCGTGATGTCATTGTGTCATGTTTTCGTGATGTCACTGTGTCATGTTGTCGTAGTGTCATTGTGTCATGTTGTCGTGATGTCACTGTGTCATGTTGTCGTGATGTCACTGTGTCATGTTGTCGTGATGTCATTGTGTCATGTTTTCGTGATGTCACTGTGTCATGTTTTCGTGATGTCACAGTGTCATGTTGTCGTAGTGTCATTGTGTCATGTTGTCGTGATGTCACTGTGTCATGTTGTCGTGATGTTACTGTTTCATGTTGTCGTGATGTCACTGTGTCATGTTGTCGTGATGTCACTGTGTCATGTTGTCGTAGTGTCATGGTGTCATGTTGTAGTGTCATTGTGTCACGGTGTCATGTTGTCGTGATGTCACTGTGTCAAGTTGTCGTGATGTCACAGCGTCATGTTGTCGTGATGTCACTGTGTCATGTTTTCGTAATGTCACTGTGTCATGTTGTCGTGATGTCACAGTGTCATGTTGTCGTGATGTCACTGTGTCATGTTGTCATGATGTCACTGTGTCATGTTGTCATGATGTCACTGTATCATGTTGTCATGATGTCACTGTGTCATGTTGTCGTGATGTCACTGTATCATGTTGTCATGATGTCACTGTGTCATGTTGTCGTGATGTCACTGTATCATGTTGTCATGATGTCACTGTGTCATGTTGTCGTGATGTCACTGTGTCATGTTTTCGTGATGTCACTGTGTCATGTTGTCGTAGTGTCATTGTGTCATGTTGTCGTGATGTCACTGTGTCATGTTTTCGTGATGTCACTGTGTCATGTTTTCGTGATGTCACTGTGTCATGTTGTCGTAGTGTCATTGTGTCATGTTGTCGTGATGTCACTGTGTCATGTTGTCGTGATGTTACTGTTTCATGTTGTCGTGATGTCACTGTGTCATGTTGTCGTGATGTCACTGTGTCATGTTGTCGTAGTGTCATGGTGTCATGTTGTAGTGTCATTGTGTCACGGTGTCATGTTGTCGTGATGTCACTGTGTCATGTTGTCGTGATGTCACTGTGTCAAGTTGTCGTGATGTCACAGCGTCATGTTGTCGTGATGTCATTGTGTCATGTTGTCGTGATGTCACTGTGTCATGTTGTCGTGATGTCACAGTGTCATGTTGTCGTGATGTCACTGTGTCATGTTGTCGTGATGTCACAGTGTCATGTTGTCGTGATGTCACTGTGTCATGTTGTCGTGATGTCACTGTGTCATGTTGTCGTAATGTCATTGTGTCATGTTGTCGTAGTGTCATTGTATCACAGTGTCATGTTGTCGTGATGTCACTGTGTCATGTTGTCGTGATGTCATGTTGTCGTGATGTCACAGTGTCATGTTGTCGTAGTGTCATTGTATCACAGTGTCATGTTGTCGTGATGTCATGTTGTCGTGATGTCACAGTGTCATGTTGTCGTGATGTCACTGTGTCATGTTGTCGTGTTGTCACTGTGTCATGTTGTCGTAGTGTCATTGTATCACAGTGTCATGTTGTCATGATGTCATGTTGTCGTGATGTCACTGTGTCATGTTGTCGTAATGTCACTGTGTCAAGTTGTTGTGATGTCACAGCGTCATGTTGTCGTGATGTCATTGTGTCATGTTTTCGTAATGTCACTGTGTCATGTTGTCGTGATGTCACAGTGTCATGTTGTCGTGATGTCACTGTGTCATGTTGTCGTGATGTCACTGTGTCATGTTGTCGTAATGTCATTGTGTCATAATGTCGTAGTGTCATTGTATCACAGTGTCATGTTGTCGTGATGTCACTGTGTCATGTTGTCGTGATGTCATGTTGTCGTGATGTCACAGTGTCATGTTGTCGTAGTGTCATTGTATCACAGTGTCATGTTGTTGTGATGTCATGTTGTCGTGATGTCACAGTGTCATGTTGTCGTGATGTCACTGTGTCATGTTGTCGTGATGTCACTGTGTCATGTTGTCGTAATGTCATTGTGTCATGTTGTCGTAGTGTCATTGTATCACTGTGTCACGTTGTCGTGATGTCACTGTGTCATGTTGTCGTGATGTCACTGTGTCATGTTGTCGTAGTGTCATTGTATCATGTTGTCGGGATGTCACTGTGTCATGTTGTCGTGATGTCATGTTTTCGTGATGTCACAGTGTCATGTTGTCGTAGTGTAATTGTATCACAGTGTCATGTTGTCGTGATGTCACTGTGTCATGTTGGCGTGATGTCACTGTGTCGTGATGTCACTGTGTCATGTTGTCGTGATGTCACTGTGTCATGTTGTCGTGTTGTCACTGTGTCATGTTGTCGTAGTGTCATTGTATCACAGTGTCATGTTGTCATGATGTCATGTTGTCGTGATGTCACTGTGTCATGTTGTCGTAATGTCACTGTGTCATGTTGTCGTAATGTCATTGTGTCATGTTGTCGTAGTGTCATTGTATCACAGTGTCGTGTTGTCGTGATGTCACTGTGTCATGTTGTCGTGATGTCACTGTGTCATGTTGTCGTGATGTCACTGTGTCATGTTGTCGTAGTGTCATGGTGTCATGTTGTAGTGTCATTGTATCACGGTGTCATGGGCCATATCAACATATCCAGTTATGTTTCCGTGTACCAACATACTTTATTTAAATGTAGGAAAAGGATCTGGTACACCAACAGAAGCACCAACAGAAGCACCAGCACCGACAGAAGCACCAGCACCGACAGAAGCACCAGCACCAACAGAAGCACCAGCACCGACAGAAGCACCAAAAGAAGATACATCAGGTAAGGAGGTAATGGAAGGCTATAGAGTGAGTGTAGGGGCTATTACAAAGTTCTGTGCTGGATAGCTAAACTCAAAATTTAGGGGCCTATTCCTAAGGTTGAATATTTATGTTTTAAACTTCAGTTTGTAATATTAAGTGTTACCTGTGGAGGTTTACATTGTTTTAAGGGTTAACTGTTGAGGTTTACATTGTTTTAAAAGTTAACTGTGGAGGTTTACATTGTTTCAAGTGTTAACTGTGGAGGTTTACATTGTTTTAATGGTTAACTGTTGAGGTTTACATTGTTTTAAGGGTTAACTGTGGAGGTTTACATTGTTTTAAGGGTTAACTGTGGAGGTTTACATTGTTTAAGTGTTAACTGTGGAGGTTTACATTGTTTTAAAGGTTAACTGTGGAGGTTTACATTGTTTTTAGTGTTAACTGTGGAGGTTTACATTGTTTTAAAGGTTAACTGTGGAGGTTTACATTGTTTTAGGCTTAACATTTCAGAGCTTGATCGAGTGCTATATATAGCAAACGGCCTTCGGGCAAGTGGCATTCGGGCATTTGTCCCATTCGGGCAAGTGTCCATTCGGGCATTTGTCGCATTCGGGCAAGTGTCCATTCGGGCATTTGTCGCATTCGGGCAAGTGTCCATTCGGGCGTTTGTCGCATTCGGGCAAGTGTCCATTCGGGCATTTGTCGCATTCGGGCAAGTGTCTTTCGGGAAAACGTCCGGCTCCCATATAGCCAACCATTTCTCTATGATGCATTTGACAGCCCAGATTTGCATATATGACTAAAATATTACAAATATTTAAAAGAAAATATTTTGAAACATCAAGTTTTTAAATGCAGTGAAAATAAGAAAATAATAAAAAACAAGTTGCTCATGAGATGACTTGTCGTGTTGTCACTGTGTCATGTTGTCGTGATGTTACTGTGTCATGTTGTCGTGATGTCACTGTGTCATGTTGTCGTGATGTCACTGTGTCATGTTGTCGTGATGTCACTGTGTCATGTTGTCGTGATGTCACTGTGTCATGTTGTCGTAATGTCACTGTGTCATGTTGTCATGTTGTCGTGGTGTCACTTGTCATGTTGTCGTGGTGTCACTTGTCATGTTGTCGTGATGTCACTGTGTCATGTTGTCGTGATGTCACTGTGTCATGTTGTCGTGATGTTACTGTGTCATGTTGTCGTGATGTCGCTCATGAGATGACTTGCTGCGACAAAAAACATTTCAAACCCGCCGGTTGCTTGCATCCCCTGACAGTTATCTGCCCCTAATTGGGTCATGGCCGACGCGAAGACTAGAAATGAACCAACCGGGACAGTGGACCGTTGAAAACACGCTGTTCCAATCATCGCTTGAAATTTGTTACTAAATTTAGAAATTTTAAATTTAATGACTAGTTTTCTATTTAATTGATATTCATGCATTGCCAATGAAGAACTATCTAGAAAGTTTGAATGAAATTGCTGCATTAGAAGTAAGTCAAAATTGAGTTCCATGATTTTTCTTTCTAGTTACAAATATTTTGCTTAGTTAAAAACTAAGTAAAAGCTTGTCAATATTTTTCTTTCATTTTGGAAGCTATCACCTGATGTGAATCATTTCTTGCACATGACAAGTGCTAACCTTTCTCATATTGCAAATAGCTGGAGCAACGAGAAAACCCAACAACTGCCTGGGACAACAAATTGACGAGCAAACAGGACATTGTAGGAGAGGTTGTCTGGCCACATTTTGGAAGGAGGACTGTAAAACTGGTAGGTGTAGATTGGTCATGCTTGAGTGGTTTATGTAAAGCTAGAGTGTAGATTGGTCCTGCTTGAGTGCTTTATGTAAAGCTGGGGTGTAGACTGGTCATGCTTGTGTGGTTTGTGTAAAGCTGGAGGGTGTAGACTGGTCATGCTTGAGTGCTTTATGTAAAGCTGGGGTGTAGACTGGTCATGCTTGTGTGGTTTGTGTAAAGCTGGAGGGTGTAGACTGGTCATGCTTGAGTGGTTTATGTAAAACTGGTAGGTGTAGATTGGTCATGCTTGAGTGGTTTATGTAAAGCTAGAGTGTAGATTGGTCATGCTTGTGTGGTTTGTGTAAAGCTGGAGGGTGTAGACTGGTCATGCTTGAGTGCTTTATGTAAAGCTGGGGTGTAGACTGGTCATGCTTGTGTGGTTTGTGTAAAGCTGGAGGGTGTAGACTGGTCATGCTTGAGTGGTTTATGTAAAACTGGTAGGTGTAGATTGGTCATGCTTGAGTGGTTTATGTAAAGCTAGAGTGTAGATTGGTCATGCTTGTGTGGTTTATGTAAAACTGGTAGGTGTAGATTGGTCATGCTTGAGTGGTTTATGTAAAGCTGGGGTGTAGACTGGTCATGCTTGTGTGGTTTGTGTAAAGCTGGAGGGTGTAGACTGGTCATGCTTGAGTGGTTTATGTAAAGCTGGGGTGTAGATTGGTCATGCTTGTGTGGTTTGTGTAAAGCTGGAGGGTGTAGACTGGTCATGCTTGAGTGGTTTGTGTAAAGCTGGAGGGTGTAGACTGGTCATGCTTGAGTGGTTTATGTGAAGCTGGGGTGTAGACTGGTCATGCTTGAGTGGTTTGTGTGAAGCTGGTCCCCACGGTTTCACAGTCCTACTAGCTCCACCCTTCTCCCTAATCGCTTCACTATCGCCTCTCGTCTGATTACAAGTCCAACCTAACTGGCGCCCCGTCTGGCGCCCCGTCTGAGGCCCCGTCAGACACCCCATCTCATCCCTTCGAATAACTTGCCAGTCAGTGACTTTACCAACAGTTCAATGGTGACTACACCAACAGTTCAATGGTGACTACACCAACAGTTCATTTGGTGACGATGATTTGTCACCACTACTGTAAGGCAAAGATTGAGGCTTTTGTATGGCCGGGTATCCCATCTTGTTACTGGTTACCAGTTGTCAAGTTGTGTGCTACCATTCCCAGCAAGTTATTTGATTCTCCAGTGCTCACACACCATTGCTCACACACCATTGCTCACACACTCCAGTGCTCACACACCATTGCTCACACACCAGTGCTCACACACCAGTGCTCACACACCATTGCTCACACACCATTGCTCACACACCATTGCTCACACACCATTGCTCACACACCAGTGCTTACACACCAGTGCTCACACACCATTGCTAACACACACCATCTACTCCTCACCAAATATCTAGACATAAATTCTTACGTTGATCCAAAAGTATGTGACGTCTAGACATAAATTCTTACGTTGATCCAAAAGTATGTGACGTCTAGACATAAATTCTTACGTTGATCCAAAAGTATGTGACGTCTATACATAAATTCTTACGTTGATCCCAAAGTATGTGACGTCTAGACATAAATTCTTTCGTTGACCTACTCTAGCGTGTGGCTATTGTGCTGGTATTGGGTCATGTGATCAAAGGACAGGCTACTGCACAAGTGGCTGTAAGGACGGGTATGAAGGTTCGGATTGTAACAGTGAGTTTCTTAAATTTTAACTTTTGTCTGACCAAGGTCCCACTGAGGTAACTTATAAAACATTTCTCTGACCACGGCTCCGCAGGTAACTTATAAAACATTTCTCTGACCACGGCTCCGCAGGTAACTTATAACATTTGTCTGACCACGGCCCCGCAGATAACTATATAGTACACAACACGTGTGGCGTCATTGATTGTAGAATAAAAAGGAGAATTAAAAATCGAAAGTCGAAAATGTTACACACTACTAATACTGTCGTCTTCAATATGATTCGCATGCCAAATCTTCCGATTTTAGAATATGAAGAAATGAACTATTTCATTCAAATTTGATTTAGATCTAGAATCTAAAGCTCTTTAATCAGTTGAAACATTTAATATGTCCGTCCGTCCGTCCGTCCGTCCGTCCGTCCGTCCGTCCGTCCGTCCATCCATCCATCCATCCATCCATCCATCCATCCATCCATCCATCCATCCATCTATCTATCTATCTATCTATGTATGTATCTGACAAGAACGCTATAGAGAAAACACAAGCAAATTAAAAACATGCATAGTTAAACGATAACGAAATATGACGTCATATTGAGCATAATAGTAGAAAAGAGTTGAAAGCCGGGAGATTGTACAAAATAATATGACGTCATTGATTCTCGAGTAAACATTGAATAAAAAGGCATTTTTTGTCTAATCTTAAAAGTGGTTTGCGTGAAGAGTTTCTTTCACACAATTCTTCGGGTAGGGACGTCTAAGCCATTCCCCCTTCCCCCAACTCAAAAGAAATTTCTTCATTGATACTCTATAATAAAATTACAGCCTAATCACTGTTTCTAATCTAAAAAGTGGTTTGCGTGCAGAGTTTCTTTCATGCAATTCTTCGAGTAGTGGCTAAGCGCGACACCAGTGTTTCTTTCAGACTTTTTCTCCCCGGAGGGGAGGACTTTTTCTAATCTAAAATGTGTTTAGCGTGCACAGTTTTTTTCATGCATCTCTTCCGGTACGGGCGAAGCCCCGCCCAGGTTCTTGCTTTAGTTTGTATGATCTATAAATGCGACCAGTGTTTCTTTCAGACATTTTCCTCCCCGAAGAGGGGTGGGGGTACTTGAAATTTTCGGGGGCGGGGGTAGAATTTTCTGGGAGGGGGCGGACACTGGAAAAAGTATATAATTATATTTCGTTTAATGGGACGGTAGACATGTTTTGGGGTGTGTGTGGGGGGGAGGGGGGCTGAGCCCCCTCCTCCCAAGTAGAGTTGCCTGAAAGAAACTCTAAATGCGACTTTTGTCATGAATGAGATTAGGTGCATGGTTTAGGGATATGCCTATGACTATATTTTGTATAAATTAAAGTACCGATTCTGGATAAAAATTCGTTTTCAATGTCATTTTTCGTTTCCGGTTAAATTGAATTAAGGTGGTGATTTTGGTTTTGGTTTTAGTTTAGAGAAAATAGACAGCACTATCAACCTAGCGCCCGTTGTATCCTTCCTCAACGGGCCATTTTTCACGTTAATACTAATAGTTTCGCTGTCTGTCTATCTATCTGTCTGACAAGAACGTTATAGAGAAAACACAAGCAAATTAAAAACATGCATAGTAAAACGGAAACGAAACATGAAGTCACATTGAGAATATAGTTGAAAATAGTATTAAGCCCGAGAGTGCACACAATAATATGACGTCATTGATTCTCGAGTAAACATTGAATTAAAATGCCAATGTTTTCTAATCTTAGGAGTGGTTTGCGTGAAGAGTTTCTTTCATACAATTATTCGGGTAGGGGCGAAGCCTTCCCCCCGGTAGAACATCAAAGATATGACGTCATCGATACTCTATAATAAAAAAAAAGACTGACATTACGGCATAATTAATGTGTATAAACCTAAAAGTGTTTTGCATTTAGAGTTTCTTTCATAGAATTCTTCGGGTAGTGGCTAAGCGCGACATCAGTTTTTCTTTCAGACCTTTTCCTCCGAGTAGAGGGGAACTTTTCTAATCTGTGCGTGCACAGTTTCTACCGTTAGTTTGTATAATCTACAAATGCGACCAGTGTTTCTTTCAGACTTTTTCATTCCCGGAGAGGAGGGGGTACTTGAAAATTTTCGGGGGCAGGGGTGGAATTTTCTGGGAGGGGGCGGAAACTGGAAAATGTATATAATTATATTTCGTTAAATTTCGTTGAATGGGACGGTAAAAGTGCTTTGGGGTGTGGGGGGAGGGAGGGTGGGGGGGCGGGGCGGAGCCCCCTATCCCCAAGTAGAGTCGTCTGACAGAAACTCTAAATGCGACTTTTCTCATGATTGAGATTAGGTGCATGGCTTAGGGGTGTGGCTACGACTGTATTTAGTATAAATGCAAGGTAACTAAGTGTAGATCAAGCTTAAATTCGATTAAAATGACGATTCTTGCTAAAAATTCGTTTTCAAAGTAATTTTTCGTTTCCGATTCAATTTGAGTGTAAGGTGGTATCTTTGGTTTTGGTTTAGAGAAAATAGACACACACTATTAACCTAGCGCCCGTTGTATCCTTCCTTAAAGGGTCATTTTTCTCGTATAAGAATATTCGAGAAAGTTTAGGGGAGTTCACTCCCGGTTTATTAAAATATAGGCCTATAACTCTCGTGTAACGGGTACCGATGGCTAGTTAATAATAAACCTCAAGGAAAGAGAAATGCAAACAGTTTCAACCTTAAGTCTTCGATGCTAAGATATATTGGAATAATTAACTCTCTGAATTTCTTCTATCCTATCAAGAATATTTATTTTAAAAACTACTGCTATAATTTATTTGTATTCAAAATAGATTTACTTAAGTCTTTAAAACGACGCGATTTTTTAAAAATCCATATTTTATTGTATTAATTTGGTCATGGTTATGCTCGGTGAGGTGGGGGGGGTGCAAATTTGTGGCCTAAGGAGATGTTACGTAACGTTAATCTCGGTCAATTTACCAACGTCATTACTCACCAGTCCAATTACTCACCAGTCCAATGTCGGGTTAGGGTTATGTAATAGATTAGAAATACAACGGAGACAGAAGCCATCAGCATGTAGCTGTCTTTTTATTCGTAAACCGGAAGAGAGAACAAACATAGATAAATACAAGGGACATCACTCAATAACAACATTATAAATATAACTAATACAAGAAGAGTGAGTTCCCTTGACTTCACAATTCTCACTATATTACAGGTTATGTAAACAATGTCGAGTTAGGAGGTGATGACTAGCGACTGAGCGCGGATTAATTTAATTAAAGCTTTTGATTCATTTTTAAACATTGTTTTTATAGAAAAAACAAAATTGTGCGTAGTATAGTAAAATTTAATATGATTTGTAATGGAGCCCCATACCTCCTCCCCCCCTACCCCCACCCCCACCCTTCATATTTGTAAAGATGAAATCTCGTGACAAAACTATTGATGTTTTAGAGCGCAAAGGTTGAAGATAAGAGTCAAGAAATGCTTGCTAACGACTGTTATTTATCATAAACACTTTGTTCTACTTATTTTTTCTTAGATGTGAAAACTATACATACGTTAAGCTACACTTTATACTAACGGGTATTTGTCCGTCCACTCAAGCCACACTTTATGTAAGCCCTGCTAGGGGTGGGGGATCTCTAAAATCTACTCTACCCTTCCCTAGGCTTATCTACTACTTATGTCCGGTCAGTGCAAGCCCGGATAAACCCAGACTGGTTAATAACCTAACCTTAGTCTAAATGATAAAAACAAAAAACTTGAACAATATAATAAAATTTATTTAACAAAAATATGGAAACAAAACTTACATAAAAATAAAACTAGATCTCTAGAATCTAGATCTAGACAAAACAATACAATTTATATACAACAAAACACCCAATTTCGGACTACATCCTAGAAAAGGGAAAAAATGACACATTAATTACAATAAACAAAGTTATATACAAAGTATTAAACACAGGCTGACTGGATTACATCTCAACAGCCTGCAGGTAGTTCACACAGAACACACTCCAAAAATTACCTGGAATATTACCAGGAAACTGAGCTCTAAACTACTAGCTCAACAGACAGTTACCAGCCTAACAAATGGCTCACGTAATATAAAATCTATTAATGTCATGTGCACACCCTTAGTGACTTAGAATGAACCAAACACTCTCCTGGGGATCAACAAAGATCACCACAGGAAGTGTAAGTCCACTATAATGGCTTTAAAATAGTATAAACAGCTTACAAGTAACATAACCAAACCTGACAGTCAGGAATGAACCGTAACTGTGAGTCAGGCAACCATAACTCCACTACTTAACCCAACAGCCAGGAGTAAACCATAACTGTGGGCCAAGTATAAATAAGCATTATCCCTGGCTTAACACAAGCCCAAGGGATACAACAAAGTAACAAAATAACATAATAAACATAATAAAACTCAGAATCTGAGTCCACATGGTCTGACAAAACCACAATGGCGGTAAGAAAACAGCCACAGAAAAAAGCTTATGGCCAGCAACCAAAAATATACAGCAAAATACAGAAAATAAATATGTTTCTAACTTACCAGGTATGCAAAGAACACATACACAAAATAATAAAAACTAGATGGACGTTCTTCTGACTTGATGGTAAAAGGAACGCCTTCGTCCTTACCTCATCACTTCAGCACACCCAAAAAGAACAGAACTGCAAGCCGGAAATCGACTTTCACACACCTCACACACTACACGTAAACAAATAGTCCCTAATTCACAGATAACAAACCAAACGCCACGGAACACGTAACAGAATTATATAAAAAGACACTTAATATAAACCTTGACACAATATAAATGATATATAATAATACACTCCAGCCGCTCACATTTATATAGAGTTTCTTCTTTCTTTAAGGCATCTCCCTCAAAAGAAAATTTAACCCCCCCCCCCCCAAAAAAAAACGATTGAATTTATATAGCAACATTTGTCTCCCCCCCCCCCCCCTAAAAAGGGGAAGAAAGTCTGGAAGAAACACTGATGGAGTAACATGTTTAGTCAAATGACGTCACCTGGGATAATATGTCAGGGCAATTGACATCATGTATTTCCCATCAACAGACGAGACCGGCATACCATGGGGTGATGTACTCATCGTCTTATCAGTGTTGGCGGCCATTTTACTTGTCGTTTTCGTCGTCTATCGCGTCTTCTTCAAAAAGGCCTACTCTATGGATATATATAACGATGGTAAGTCAGGTCCATTATGTGGATGTCTATGAGGTAAGTAAGGTCTAATTTGTGGACGTGTATGGGTAATTCAGGTCTAATATCTGGATGTGTATAAGGATGGTAATTCAGGTCTAATATGTGAACGTGTATGAGGATGGTAAATCAGGTCTAATATGTGAACGTGTATGAGAATGGTAATTTAGGTCTAATATGTGAACGTGTATGAGGATGGTAATTCAGGTCTAATATGTGGACGTGTATGAGGATGGTAATTCAGGTCTAATATGTGAACGTGTATGAGGTAAGTGAGGTCTATTATGTGGATGTGCATGAGGATGGTAAGTCAGGTCCATTATGTGGATGTGCATGAGGATGGTAAGTCAGGTCTATTATGAGGACGTGTATGAGGATCTGTATCCCTAGACTGGCACTCCCCACACCAAACAAAAACCCAATCCTAACCACTGAACCTAATATGCGAACCTAACCCTAATCCTAACCACTGAACCTAATATGCGAACCTAACCCTAAACCTAACCACTGAACCTAATATGCGAACCTAACCCTAAACTTAACCACTAAACAATAATCTACTATACAGACAAGTAGCCAATGTGTACAACCTTTTCGACGTCGGTCTTTTGTCAGTCCTCGTTTGGGTTAAGGTTAGGGTTCAGGTTTAGATTAGGGCTCAGAAGGGAGGGAGGGAGGGAGGGGGGAGGGAGGGAGGGAGGGAGGGAGGAAGGGAGGGAGGGAGGGAGGAAGCGCTTTTTCTTGTTCCTTTAATGCGCAGTTTTTAGTCAGGCTACTCTATTGTATTAAAAATTTTAAGTACTGAAAAAAGAATATTCTCATATAACACTATGGGGGATTGTATGATTTAAATTAATAAATTTTTAAATACTTTAACTTTTTAAAAATATAATAGAATTTCGTTGGAAAAAAAATTGCGCACCAAGTGAACGGCAAACAATATGTGTATTATAGTGCGGAATATTAGTACTTTAAAAATTCAAACGCGTTTTTTTTTGTTTTGCTTTTTGGGATATCGGAAAAATGCGTAAAGTACTACTTCATGTATAAGAAAATACTCAAAATTTGACAGAAAGCAAAGTATCGGATCTTTTACTTATATGTAAAATTTTGTTTATCTATCTAAAACAGTATAGTTTTGCAAAAAATGTCCAAAAGTCTGTGTGTGTATGTGTGATATGCATGTTTGTGAACACGATAACTGAGTACCGTTAAAGCTAGGATGATAAAAATTTCACTTATTAATATTATATCAAATTTGTTGTTCTGTTTAAACTTTTGAGCGATTTCCAATAACCGGAAGTGGAACTTATTCTACTTTTCAATCGCTATTTCCGATTTCTCAAAAAACTAAATGAATTTATAAAGTACTAATATTCCGCACTTTTATACAGATATAGTTTACCGTTCATGTGGTGCGCAATTTTATTTTTTTTCTACGAGATTCTATTCTATTTTTAAAAGTTTAAGTAATTAATAAACCGGGAGTGATCTCCCCTAAACTTTCTCGAATATTCTTATATAAAACAACATGGGATGGGAACTCGGGCTATAGACATGATTTTTAATCCATTTTAAATACTTAAAGTTTTAAAAATAGAATAAAATCTCGTAGACAAATTAATTGCACACCAAGTGAACGCGAAATAAATAAACCGGGAGTGATCTCCCCTAAACTTTCTCGAATATTTTTATATAAAATAACAGGGGATGGGAACTCGGGCTATAGACATGATTTTTAATCAATTTTAAATACTTAAAGTTTTAAAAATAGAATAAAATCTCGTAGACAAATTAATTGCACACCAAGTGAACGCGAAATAAAAAAGCGCATAATAGTGCGCAATATTATTAGTACTTTTAAAATTTACATTAGTTTTTTGAGAAATCGGAAGTAGCGTAAATTACTACTTCTGGTCAACGGAAATTACTCAAAATTTAACAGAAGGTAGAGAATTAGATATTTTACTTACATGTGAAATTTCATTTATCTATCTGAAATAGTACTCAAGTTATAGGCTTTTGAAAAATTCAAAGTAGAAAAAGTACCACTTCCGGTTATCAGAAATCGCTCAAAAGTTGATACGGATCTACGATTTTGATAAAATACTTATATATGAAATTTCATCAACCTAGCAGTAACGGTACTCAAGTTATCGTGTTTACACACGGACACACAGACAGACACACACACACACAGACATACGGACAAGATTGCAAAATTATGTTTTTCCGTATCAGTGAGGTGTAAAACGTCGAGATTTGTAAAAATCTCGATTTTTTTTTTTGCACGATTACAATACTTTCTCTATACTACGTATATACGAGAAAGTAAAAAAGCGCATAAAAGTGCGCAATATTATTAGTACTTTTAAATATTACATTAGTTTTTTGAGAAATCGGAAGTAGCGTAAATTACTACTTCCGGTCAACGGAAATTACTCAAAATTTAACAGAAGGTAGAGAATTAGATCTTTTACTTACATGTGAAATTTCATGTATCTATCTGAAATAGTACTCAAGTTATAGGCTTTTGAAAAATTCAAAGTAGAAAAAGTACCACTTCCGGTTGTCGGAAATCGCTCAAAAGTTGATACTGATCTACGATTTTGATATAATACTTATATATGAAATTTCATCAACCTAGCTGTAACGGTACTCAAGTTATCGTGTTTACACACGGACACACAGACACACAGACACACAGACACACACACAGACATACGGACAAGATTGCAAAATTATGTTTTTCCGTATCAGTGAAGTGTAAAACGTCGAGATTTGTAAAAATCTCGATTTTTTTTTTTTTGCTCGATTACAATACTTTCTCTATACTACATATATACGAGAAAGTAAAAAGGGATTAAACTCATGTCTATATCTTGAGTTGCCATCCCTCGTAGTGTTAGTTAAGAATATTTGAGAAAGTTTAGGGGAGATCACTCCCGCTTTATTTTAAATTGTTAAATTGTTTAATTTATTTCATTGATCGCATTTAGTGATAGTTCTAGTCAGTCAAAACATGGTATTTTGCATTTATTTGACCAACATCCTAAGGGAAGCGGGTAAAAAAAATCGGAACACTAACTCTTGTTCTAGAAATCTTTTTAAAATAAATATACCCACCCCCACCCCCCACCACCAAGCACATACACAGCTGTAAAAACTGAATTAAATAACCTAAACCAGAGCTTTTTCCAGGCATCACCCCGAAGAAAGTCTGCCGCCCGCCAGAACATATTTTTTTTTAACATATTTATATATACTTTTAACATTTGAATTGAAAAACTTAAACATGTATTTTCCATTTGAATTGAATTACCTAAATATTTATTTGTGCTAGCTGGAGATCCTGAACAAGAGAAGTAAAAGGCAATGAAAGAAAATGAGAAGCACGGAGAAAATGATGAAACAGGCAGCGCTGAGATTTAGGGACGTCTATGTCTCTTTGTCTATAGTATATAAATGAATGGTCTTTAGGTCTATGTATTATTGTCTATAGGCCCATAATCTATGGTCTGTTGTGTATGGTCTATGTCAATGGTCTTAAACATTGTTTATGTATCTCTATGGTCTATGCTCTCAAAGTTAACATGGACTAACTGTAAGAGATGTTGAGGGGAAATGTTATTATTTCTGAATTTTGCATTGTTATTTTGTGAAAACAACGCTGTGTAAAAGCAATCTACTCTCATATTGGATTATTTTAATAGCTAACCCTGACCCTTAGCGTACTAATATACGGCAGCCAATCGCCCGAATAAGCTATTGCACAAATGTATTTTAAATACAGGGCCTATGTTTAATGAATTAGGATTTTATGTGTTATATTAATAAACAGATGAAGTATATGAAACAAAAAAAACAAATTGCTTTATTTAATAAATTATAATTTATTAATTAAATAAACAATTATTATTTTGAAGATGTAGCTCAAGTTCTGTCCGTCATGTTGTTCTCCATCATCTTGTGTGCTTTACTTTAAAAATTGAGAAGTCGTTCTATATTTTTAATTAAAACTGGGAAAAATTGAGAAAACGTTCTATAAATTATTTTTAATCAAAACTGGGGGGAAAATTGAGAAGTCGTTCTATATTTTTAATCAAAACTGGAAAAAATTGAGAAGTCGTTCTATATTTTTAATCGAAACTGAGAATAATTAAAAAGTCGTTCTATATTTATAATCAAAAGTGGGAAAAATTGAGAAGTCGTTCTATATTTTTAATCAAAACTGGGAAAAATTGAGAAGTCGTTCTATATTTTTAATCAAAACGGGGAAAAAGTGAGAAGTCGTTCTATATTTTTAATCAAAACTGGGAAAAATCGAGAAGTCGGTCTATATTTTTAATCAAAACTGGGAAAATTGAGAAGTCGTTCTATATTTTTAATCAAAACGGGGGGAAAAATTGAGAAGTCGTTCTATATTTTTAATCGAAACTGGGTAAAATTGAGAAGTCGTTCTATATTTTTAATCAAAACGGGGAACAATTGAGAAGTCGTTCTTTATTTTTAATCAAAACGGGGAAAAATTGAGAAGTCGTTCTATATTTTTAATCAAAACTGGGAAAAATTGAGAAGTCGTTCTATATTTTTTAATCAAAACTGGGAAAAAATTGAGAAGTCGTTCTATATTTTTAATCGAAACTGGGTAAAATTGAGAAGTCGTTCTATATTTTTAATCAAAACGGAAAAATTGAAAAGTTGTCCTATATTTTTAATCACATCTGGGAAAAATTGAGAAGTCGTTCTATATTTTTAATCAAAACTGGGAAAAATTGAGAAGTCGTTCTATATTTTTAATCGAAACTGGGAAAAATTGAGAAGTCATTCTTTATTTTTAATCAAAACTGGGAAAAATTGAGAAGTCGTTCTATATTTTTAATCAAAACTGGGAAAAATTGAGAAGTTCTATATTTTTAATCAAAACTGGGAAAAATTGCCTTCACTGTGAGATATTTTAAAAGCACGCATAACGCAAA